GTTCCCTGGCCATTGCTGCTTCAGGCTCCTGGGCGTGCCAACCGCCCAATATTTCAGTCTCATTAACAGTAAAATTTAATAAGCGGTCACAATGGCAAGTGGATGTAGCTCAAGAGCCATGTCAAATTCTCAAAACAAATTGAAGCATTCTAAGTGAATCTCCTAAGCAGCAGAAAAAGATGCTAACAAGCGCCATAAGGTACTAGAAAAACACATGAAGAAGTTCATGTGGGAGGATGAAGAAAATTCTCAAACCTCATCTCCTCCAGGCCTACTTCGTCTCCAATCCCTCTCTGCAACCACCCCTGAATCTGTCTGTGTAATCCAGATGCAGCGCAGCTGCATAAGATCAGGTAGCTCATCTAGATCAGTACAAGTGACTCGAAGTGCCTCTGTGGCCACATTGCTCCAACAGCAGCCAGATTCTGTCAAGATGATGACTTACCAGAAAAGATTCCCACAAAGATGTGACTGTGGATGGAATTAGCAATACGCCAATGTATCTCTGCGGAGGTGCAGCATATTGCTCTGAACAACAGAGCGCTCCTTCTGACTGGAATTCCCTAGAACTCCGGTCACTAAACAGGACAGAGCATCCTTACCCTCAGGTATCTCTCCACAGGAGATTCTGTAGTTTCAGATATACTCCCGCAAGGTATATAGAAGAAGCAAGGGCTATTGATCAGGTAGAGCCAGAGGACTCTGAGTTCTCCTGCTCAAATTATAAAATTCTAGTTAGATTCACATCGGCTCACATTAAAAGGTGATGGTTGATACTACATCTTGACAACTAAAACAATGCTGGCATCATTTTGTTTATAAGAATTCCATGGCATTATCTGTTGAGAAGCCACTTCCCCTCACAAGGATCTCCGTGAGAGTCCAGGGGACATTTATGCCGATTACGGACCTCTTTCTGAGGTTGACTATTGGGCTTCCTTTTTCAGTTGGCAGCCCTCACAGAATACAGCATCACAGTAACAGCAAGCGCCAAGGCCTGTATCTGCCCGTGCAGGAAGCTGTTGAGGGCCAGTGACTGCAGGATCACCCAATTGCAATACAGGTCCTGAAAGTTGTTCTCTATTTGGCCTCACAATTTGATTTTCATATTCAGTCATCTAATTATGAGTTTGGTAACAGCACAACAATTTATGTTAATAGCTGTGCACAGATATAACAAAAATATTATCAATAATAACAATATTAATGATATTAATATTATTATGAATAATTACATAATAACAAATTGAATTTACCAAAAAACGGGGGGGGGGCAAATATCAAGAGGATTCCCTGCCTCTGTTTATATCAGTCCTCTGAACCAGTCAACAGTCCATTAATATCTCATACACATATAGATACATAGATATAGATATCTCACCTTGTGGGCTTTAGGTCAGAATCTTCAAGGGCAACCAAAAATACCCCTAAAAGACAATAAACCAACTCAAAGTAGGTAAAAATGTCCTAGGGAGACCTCTAAGGCAACAAAGGATGCCAAGAGACACCAAAATGTGTTAGATGAGCATATCTTAAATTTAAAAAAAAATGCATGAGGGAGGTTGAACAGAAGTCTCAGTCCTCTTCCCCAGCCAGGCTGGTCCCAGTTCCAGAGTGTTCGCTTCAGCAGCACATATACTAAAATTGGAATGATACAGAGAAGATTAGCATGGCCCCTGCACAAGGATGACACGCAATTTGTGAAGTGTTCCATATTTCACCTTGCCTCCATCCCTGGATCTCTCAACGCCATCCTGGAGAGCCTCAGAGAGACCGGTTCAACCCAGGCCTTCAGCAGCGCTACTTGCCTGACAGACAGTTGTGGGACCACACCAGAATTCCTCCTCCCAGAGGATATCCCTGACAAATTGTAGGCCTGGAGGGACATGGCAACTTGAAGAGGCATCACAGCCGGGGCACAGTAGAAGTTGATGGCTAGGCAGCCTCCACAATTTGACCTCGATTCTCATTTGATTTAGTTTCTATGCAGAACAGACCTTCATTACCAGCAGGTACCTCCTTCGGGGGAGTATTATATAATCCAGTTACACATTCACATGATGCACAGGATGAGGGAGAACTAGAGACCAGATGGAACAGGTTGAGGAAGGGTCTACTCACGACAATGACCAAAATCTGTCAGAGGCAGATCCCCTAAAAAGGGGGGGGGGGATGTCAAACATTGAAGGCATTAAGCCAAACCATCGACCTTCAGGTCTGTTTCGCCCTCAGACTTTTTTCAAGTCTGTTGTTTCCAAAAAAAAAACCCTACTTCCTGCCTTGATATTCCATTTCCCCTCGGCCCAACAATCGTTACTATAAGGGGGTGTGTCAGATGATTTAATCTTCTCCCAACCAATAATGTAAGAGGAAGTCATAACTGTCCCACAGAGGTTCTAGAACCTCGTCCAGAAACAAGGGGTCTCTTCAGTGGCGTATACCCCTCTTACAGGATACGATAGCAAATTTTTAATTTCGTTTTCTCATTCTGCTAAATTTCTCATCACCACGATAGTAGATAAAACAATAATGGCAATTATCATCCTCCTCTGCAGTTCCAACGGAAGCAGAAGAGGCTCTCAAGTCAAAGGATATACAGGGTCGAGTTGTCCCCATGTAGGGCATGTCGATCTGATGTGAGGGCCATAAGAGCGGAGTCGGCCTCATCCCCCTTTTTTTACTAGATAGTCTCTTAGGTTGCTCCGCCATCTGAGGGAGATTATCTTAAATTCCAATATCAGGGCACACAAGGACGCCGCAAAACTCTATTAAATTATCTGCTCAAGCCAGGGCATCTTAGGTTACTCCTTGCCTACTGCTATGGTTCAGACATTGGCTAGGAGATATCACACAACTAATGGAAGCTTGCTTCCTCCCCAATATAGGGAAATAATTTGGTTGGTGGTGCTCCGACCTATCTCTGATAGAGACTAGAAGCAGAAAATAAGTTCCTCTCTTTTCATAGACCCCAAAATAGTCCTTCCCAGCTTTTGGAGGGTTTCTTCGTTCCCTCTACCAGGGACTTTTTCTCTCCAGACTCCAGGGACCGTCTGGACGCATGAATCACCAACAGTCAGATAGTTTCCGATCTGGAGATAGATACTGAAGGGGAGGGCAGAGCAAAAGGATGAAATAGAGGTCTCCGAGGCACAACATAGGCCTCACGACTGTGCCCCTATTGGTGGAAGGCTCAAGCCTTTCATGGACAGATGGGATGCTGTTTCCTGGGTTAGAGGTGTCAGAAGATTAGGCCTGGCTATAGAATTTCCATCCTCTCCCTGGAACCTTTGCATTACTTGCCTTCTCTGTGGGGATCCTGTTAAAGGGAGCATGATGGAGACAGCTATTGTTCATTTATTGGAGATCCAGGCAACCAACCTGTGGCACCAGATCAGCAGGGGCAATTTTAGTTTTAAAATGACTTAATTGTTCCATAATTCATAGGAGGCTTAAGATGAGTATACTGAACTCCATATTTCTGAGCTTCAGAAGGGGCGATTTTCTACCCTCCATTGACTTAATGGAGGCCCATCCCCACATTCCAATTAGATCCTCACATAGCAAAACTCTTAGTTTTTGTTATAATACTCAACGTTTTGAATACATTGCACTGTCCTTTGGGTTGTCATCTGCCCAAGGTTCTTACGAAGGTTCTGATGGCTCTGGCTGTTCATCTCAGGGGAACACCTGTTAGACGGCAGTGTTATTTATATGACATTTCATTATTATCTTGTTCATATAAACAGGCAAAGGGGAGGCCTTAGAATCGGTCATCACTAGGAGAGACTTGCAGTCCATCTCTCATCACCCACACATATGCCATTTTCTTGCACGGGGCTACAATCTTACAGCCTCCTGTAGTGCATTGATATCACACGTGGGACCTCAACAAAGTCCTTACCACACTCAAGAAAACTCCCTTTGAGCCATGTAGACCATGCGTCTCCATTCCTAACATACAAGGTGGTTCTCTTGGTTGCCATTACATCGACCAGTTACATCTTGGATCTAGTAGTCTTGTCAGTTAAGACAAGGGCTCTCTATTTTTCACACAGACAAAGTGGTCCTTAGTCCAGATCCATCTTTCACCCATAGATAAATTTGGGTTTCCACAAACCATAGGAACTGATACTCCCGTACATTTGTCGGAAACCAACATAAAATCTGGCATGACAATGCCACAATCTAGATGTAAGGTGAGCTTTCTGCATATATTTCAACTGCACGATGTGTGTTAGGAAACGAAGGTTATCTTTGTTTCTTTTCAACCACCCACCATTGGGTGCAAGACCTCTTCCTCAAT